AAATGAACAAAACCAATTCACAGTCTGGAAATGTTTCAGAATAGCATGCCCAGCAAGCTCCATTGCATGATAAGCTGCCTCACAGTTTATGGAAATTTAGGCTTTTGTTTGATATACGTCAGTCTCCATTGTTGTTAAATATTTACTGACACAAATGAAATGAGCTATGCAGATCTGCCTGGTTGTGTTTACAATCCATGCAGGTGTACTAACCAGGAAAACAAAAAACCTCTCACCTTTACCTTGAAGGGACTTCATACATGTGACCGTCAATCGGCTCACACTGAGGCTCTGCTGTTTGCCGTCTGCCTTTGGATTAAGCAGGCTCTAGAGACAGACGTTGGCTTTCAAGCTGTTTTAAGGTATGAATGTTCATCTGTTTTGTTACACATAAGTAATTTAGAGGTTATGGTTGTAAGTATTATGTGTCTTTGTGGTGAGGTTTTGTTTATGGTGGCACAGCCTCCATAGGAACAACAGGTGATTACCTGCTCACTTTGGCTGGTAAGATGGTAGATGTTTACGCAGGGCTGGCCCGGTGAGCAAAAGAGTTTATAATTTACCTTTAATTTCTTTCAAGTTTTTTGTCTCCCAATTTATGCTTTATTGAAATGATGGCCAATACAAGAGTTGGTCCTGTAATTGTATATGTACATAATGTGACAGCAACAATTGAAAACGTGCTGAATTTAAGATTAAAGAGTGGTTGGCAGAAAATAGAAAGTTTGACTGTTGATTGGGAAGTTCCACCTACAGCTCTATGTACCCATGTTAACCACAACACACCTGGAACATGTGTTAAGCATTGCTTGACATTAATTTAAAGATGATAAGCTGTGGACTGAAATAAGGAGTTAAACTGGAGGGGTTTTACCCACAGGCTTGCAGACATATTTTGTCAAACACAGGTGTTTAGCAGAAGTTGACATCAAAGACTTGTGCAGGGTTAGCTGTGGACAGATAGCAAGATGGCTGCCAGTGTCACCTGCAGCTTACATGCTGTGTTTATCACAATTATACTTTATGTAACTGGTGGGCACAGCCAAGTGACATTTAAGACTAAGAGAGAACTTCATATTTTTGCTTTTGAAGGAGTTGTGTGTTGGCATAGAGGAAGATGGCTGGTTAATGGTGAGAAACATGTACCGAGTAGCTTTTGAATGTCGTCTTTATCGTGGGATATGAAATGTCTTAAATTGAGCTTATTAGGATGCAAAAAATAGACAAGACCTACATTTTTCTAAATTTTTTTTATAGAAAACACTGTAATGGAATGTTAATCCAAACCATTACCACGGGTGTTTTATATCCTGTTTCTATTGATACTGTGCAGGAGCAAAATGGTGTCAGTCTCTGTCAGTTTCAGTACATAACTTTTCAGTGTCATTGGCGGTAGGATTGGCATTTAATTCAACATTTACTGTGACATGACCACTGATTGACCTCTGACTATTGTGTCATATGAAAGAAATAATGGACCAGTCATTACTTATGTTGACTTGGTCGATTATTGCAGGTTTATTTTGCCACCCTTATACAATTATGATCGACACCGGGGCTATCTGCTGCTTACCACAAGCACGTCTTGTACTCACATTTTCTGATGTCTCTCCCTTTTTTCAAAGATGCAGTGTAAAATATTCCCACGGAAAGCCAAACCCTGAATGGACATCACAACTGGTGACTTACTGACATTTTGTCTTTCACTTATTTTGATAATATATGATTTTATGTGCACTATAAAAAAGTCATCCATTAACTCATTTTATTTTTCCCATTGGCCTTTGAATGGGACAATTTCAACTAAAAAAAAAAAAAAAATGCGCCTGATGGAATTTGCCTTCTTCATTACTTCAATTAATCACAATCTTTGGCATTCTTGTTCAGAAGCAATATTTAGTTTATTAAGGAATTCCTATGAATATTTCATAAGACCTTCATCAGGATTTCCAATGCATGGTGAATACTAATGTGCATGTTAAAGATTGCTGGCATGTTTCTTGTATGTTTTCAGTGGTAGAAGGTTTTTTTGCCTTATATGATGTGAAGTGTCTGGTACGGTCTCGTTCTACTTTAGTCATGTTGAAGAAAAAAATATAAGAAGAAAAATCACAATGATACTGATATTAAATACAGTTCTTTCACCACTTATCTGCTGTTTTTAATTTGAGATTTTGGTAGGGCGGAGCAGGGTGTGGTAGGGTAGAGGATTACCCCCGTGTTGACATTACGTCATATTGGTGTGAAAGATATACAACAGTTTTGATAATGCAAATGACATAAGGCTTTAGTAAGAACATTGTGCAACCAAATACTACCATCTCATAAATCCCAATCTGTGATCCTTATTTTATGGTTGGAGTAAAGCTGATATGTTATCTTCACAACAGGTGTATCGACACTGATCAAATAGGTAATAGTTTGCAGAGAGCTTTTCACTGCAAATAGAAAGGCAGATAACTCATTACTGTTATTGCCTCCTTTTTTATTATTCCTATGTTGGTACTCACTTAGTGAGGGTTTTAACTGTTTTGTATTTTGCGTTTTGGTATTTTCGTTTTCTGTTTTGGTGAAGATTAAAAAAAAAACAGGCTTTAGTGCACTTTCACTTGCACTTTCAGTTTTTTTTATCTTAATTACCCTTGTGTACCTGATCTTATGCAGTCAAAACACTGTGCTTTGGAGACTATTGGTGAAGACTTGGGTTGTAAATTACACATGTAATCTTTAGATTTGATGTTATGGTTATTATTGTGGCAATCGCAGTTTTATATGATGGATATCTTTAAAGAATCTAATTGCTTTAATAAAAAAGTTGGCCCTTTTAATTGTTCCTTTTTTAATTTGGCAATCTGAAAGCTCTCCACTTCTGTCTCTCGCAATTCCTGGCTGCGATCTCTTATAAGCAGCTTCAGTTGTCTCTTAATAATGAAATACATACATTGCAAGCAGATTTTCAAAGTTTTTAAGAACAGTTTGGAAGGTGATAATTTAATCTTGTTTCCCTAGAGCATAGATGCATGGAAAAATGTTATTGTATAATACCTGCATGTGGAGTTTGTTATTTTCATTTGTAATTGTTATCCATGTTTTGTCAAGACAGTCCATCTTTGTTGGGCCCTGGGCTTTGGATTTGTATGTGTTCCGCAAGTGTCAACTTGCTTTCATAGGTAATCAATAGAGAGCCGTCATTGGAATGTGGATCAATAAGCATTACAGTAGACAGGCATGCACTTATTCGCGCAAATGTCTGCAATTTCATGTAATGGCACATTCTGATAGACCCATGTTTTGCTGAACTAGGTAAGTGATTGTGTAGGACAGTTTTTATAACTTCATGTGAAAAGTGCGTGGACATATTATATGTTGTTTGCTAGTTTAGAATAAGGCAGGGGATGGTTCTTCATTATTTTCCCTTAAAATGAACAATGGTTACTATTAGATACATATTTCACACCATTCGCTGTTTGTAGGTAGTTCATATTTATTGTACATTGCTGTTATTCATTGATTGTGCTAATGATTGCAAGCTATGCCCTTATTAAAAAAATAACAAAAGCAGTGATGTTTTTCATTGATGGTGCTTATAATTGTAAATTCCACAGCTATGCTCTTATTTAAAACAAGTGATGTTACTGGTGCTTATTTCCTTTATGTCAACTTTTTACCTGTTTCTTTAGGTAAACTTTATTGATGCTATTGATGGGAGCATGATGACCTGTCCACAGACTGGTGTCAAGTTAGGACGCTGCTAAATATAGCACCTGTTTTCACCTGTGCTTGGTGATTAAGACCATTGTTTTGATTAAATGTGTTGACCTATTGACCTTGACATTTTTCTAGAATGGTGCATTGTTGGTTTGATTCAAATTTATGGTTTGTGTTGATGTTTTGTATTGGTTTTTGTTCTGGACGATAAAACCTTGATTATTATGAAACATCAGTAGTATATTTTCTTGATTTAAAAAAAATCTTTAACTGCCATGCTCTATTTTTTTCTTTTCTTTAATCCAAAAATGTACTCGGCAAATACCCATTGCAATGATTTACTTCCCCTCCTTATGTAACACCCTGTTTTTAACAGACATGGTAGATGACACCATTTGATTTATGAGGCCCTCAGGGTTATAGCAAGTGGTATCAAAGGGTGAGCCCTTTTTTTTTTCTGAAAAAGTGGAACTTTTTACCACAACCTAAATCAAATTTTAACTCAGGATGGACCTTTCTCATACCCCCTCCCCCTGCCTACCGACCTGTTACTGGTGATACATATATGAGGAAAACATCACAGACAAGCCTCTGACACCCAGGGTACAGTGAAATTAATCAGAGAATGCTCAAACAGGTTCTCCTTTAACCTGAGAAAACTCTGACACCGTATAGTACCAGCATTTGAGATATGGTGCACTTTCCGGCAGAGACAAAGATTACAAAATATTTATTGTATCGATGACATTGTCACTGACAGAAGTTAATTGAAAATGATGACTTTTTTACATGTAGCCTTAAAGCCGTAGGAGGTACAATTTTTTGGTTTTAGAAATGGGTTTGGATGTAGTAAACAGAATGGTCTTGTATTTGGAAAGGGAGTAACATTCTTCTGCTTGGAATGCATTTTGCAATTTGAATATAACTCAAACAGCAGTTTTACATTCTTTGGCTTTATTGATGAGTTAAGGGTATCACCAGATATATCTCTTTCCTATATTGTAAGGAATTTTGATGGAATATCTATAAATGAATCAAAATTTGACATGAATTCCACAGCAGATGTTACTTGCTCTGCCATGAAATCACTTCTAACTTATTAATTTATTTAGGCAGATAGAATTATTACATGGTGGTACATATTTATCATTTCCATTCTTCTCAATAGATTTTTTTTCAGCACAAGATACTTAAGATAACAGATGTTTGATGCCATCCAGATAGGTGAATGCTACATGAAATTTAAAAAAAAACACCACCATATTTAGATATATTAACTTTTATTTTTGCAGGACAACTTGAACGTGTTCTTGGAAGCTTGTGAAGAACAAGTTGGACTGAAAAATTCACAACTCTTCAACCCCAGTGAGCTTCAAGATTTGTCCACAAGAGCAATTGCTGAGTAAGTCAATACCTAAAGATGAATATTGTAATCATGATTGTAGATCAATACATACTACAATCTTATGGTCTTCAGTCAAAGTGTCCATTGGTTCTGGTTGTTGTCAGTTCCTTGAATGGCAAGTTTCGTTTCTATTTGAGGAGAGCTATCCCAGTACTAGTACAGCAGGCTCTATGATGACGATGATTTCGCCATTAGTATACATTCTAAGGGCCTATTCAAGAAAACAATAATGTCGACCTAGCTTGTGCTCCATGAACTCCATGAAGACATTCACTGATTGCAATCAGCTTAACAGACAAACACGCCCCCTATTGTTTGAACCTACTCATATAATTAACAGCTTATTTGTATTCTACTAAATACCAAGAGGAGGTGCATTAGTCTGTCAATCTGATTACATTCAGCAAGAGTCCCCGTGGAGTAAGTTTGCATTAGTTAGGTCAACTTGACTCATTCTGAACAGTCCCTAATCCACAGTTTCATCCTATTCTGGTAGTATTCCGGAAGTTGTATGTCATTGGATTGGCTTCGTTCGGTGAAATGATCTTAATAAAATGCCCTAATAATGTTGGACGAACAGAGTTTAGATCAGTTAGTTAGAATGAAAATGTGATTTTGGTTATAGGATTAAATGAACAGCATTCCATTCTTTATAAGATGTGTCATGGAAAATCCCTGACTTTTTTTTTTTTGAATGACAACGTGACCTTTCTAAAAAGAAATAACAGGCAAGTCTGAATGAGTTTGCTCAAGGTCCTTCAAAGGCAATAGGTTTCATTCGAACGAAGAAGAGTAAAAAAAGAAGAGATGGCTTATTGATAGAACAGGTTTTGATGTAGGTTTTCAAAGGCAACGAGTTTCATTTAAGTGAAAGTGACAGTCTCTTATTTCTGTTGAATTAGAAAGACGACACCATATTGTTGCCAAGTGACTTTCATATTTTCACTTTTGATTTTGAATCAACTTTGAATTTGGTAGCTATAAAGAAATTGGTACCCATTAATTTGCCAGGCAGCTTATTTCTATTCAATTGTCCTTGCTTCTCTCACAGGATTGCAAAAGCTTGAAGTCAGGCTACATTTTCTTTTCTCTCTTGTATGGATTCCTTGTGGCTTCACTATCTGTGGAAAATTGTGTCACATAATACAGTTGTATATGCTTTTGTTGGTTTCTTCCTCTAATGATGCTTCTACCTTGAATATTTTTTGATTGAGATATTATCACTTTCATCACAAATCAAATGAAACATTCAAAATTAGAAACTGTAGGTCAAAGTTTATATCAGATCGTGTATTAGAAGCATTATTGTAACACTTGTACACAGCTGCACACCTGCAATCTCTTGTTTCCAAGAGTGAAAAAGTTGCGATTATATCAATTTTTCACCTCAGGATAGTTGGGGCATGAAATTCTACAGCGACAAGTTTTACATCTGCATAACCAAGTTAAATACAAAGCATAAATGCTGTGTGGGAAAGTTACTTAATATACAAAAGAACAAATGTAGTGTTTGCCAATGATTCAGGAGTGATTACTGTATAGGGCCATAGTTCTGATGAATAACTGCACTGAAATGTCACTGTGAATCAAGTCTTTTTTTACACACAAAAACACATTCTTTTTGGGAAGTACAGAAAGGCTGAACCCCAATGAATGTCAACCTCATAGCTTATATAAAATGGAGTAAAAAGGGGTTCTATAATGCATTCTTTAAAAAAGGCTTTTGCACAGTAGCTTTTTGCACCTCATTTCAGAATCTATGCCTCATGTTTAATTCAACCATCATTACTGTGGAAGCATTTAGTGGGAGACTTGCAGTTAGGTGTGTAATACGATCTGCCTTTTACCTGGGCTACCTTTCTTTGAACAGGGGAGCTAAGTTTTGTTCAAACTCGAGGTGACATCGGGGTGAAGGCAGTAATCTAAAGACAAAGCTTACTTAGCAAACACACTGTATTTTTTCAACTTTATCATCGTTCGTTGCATTTTTTGTCAACAGTTTCCAATAATGACATTGATTGTCGATTTTTTAATGGCAAAGGGTTCAAAGATAGCGAAAATTCCATCGTACCTGTAAATTGTTTTGAGACTTTTCATTTTGAAGCGAACTTTGTAATATTACACTTTGGACAACAACAACCCGGTGACATAAACACAACAAGTTGATAGAATATGTGCATTCCTATGAAAATTATAACTGAATTACACCCTTGCACTTGGTCACACTGTGGCTTTTTCTTGTCCAATCCCAGTCAGGCTTGTATATATTTTGACCTAGACCTAGAAAAGGGGGTTTGGTGCACTTGCGTCAAGTGTCCCCAATTACGTCAGCCAGGCATCATTTTATTATCTGGTCAGCGAACAACAGCTGACCGCGGGTATTTTTATCAACAGACATCCACTAACAAATGTCACAAACACTGACCGATCAGATTGAGAAATTATCAGCCCCAGGCACTGAGGGTAGTGACTAAAGCTTTGAAGTGCCATTCAAAAGTTATATATATGTATATAGGTAGGAGCTGGTAGGAGAGAATACCTAGCAAATCGGCTTAGGTGTTTACTCATGGGAAAAAATTCAAGAATCTTTACCCAGTAAACAGCACACCTTGACTGTCAAGCTTGAATGTCATTTCTTTTATGTTTGCTCTTCCCAAAAGCAATGTTGACCAGACTTGAATTACCTGCATCCTTGATTCAAGATCAGGACCCATGGTAACCTTCTCCACTTGTGTGTGCATGTGTGTGTGCGTGCGTATGTATGTGTGTGTGTGTGTGTCTGAGAGAGAGAGAGAGAGAGAGAGAGAGAGAGGGAGAGAGACTTAAATGTACTTTTATATACATAAGATTACTAAAAAAGTGATATTTTGAAAGCATTTTGTGTAGGTATAAAATTGTTTTTCAGCTACGTTGAACCAAGGTAACGTGAAAAAGAGGTTGTCAGAGAAAAGAAGCTACAAAATTTACAGTATAAAAATCATAATTTGCCAAGCCTTTCAGTTGTGGTATGTCAGGGGAAATCATTAGCATACCTGTCTGTTTATCTTTTAAATTTATGTTAGGATGATTGCCACCTCATTCAACCTTCATGTTTCATATAATTGAATTTTGTCAGACCTTTTTTTTCCCGAAAATTAAGATTAGAGGAAGGCGTCAAACAGGTTTTTTGGTTGCTCTCTCAAGAGGTGCAGGGTTTTTAAGAAAAATGATGGCTATTATGTGTAGGTCTAAAAGTGTGGATAAGATGAAGAAAGGATAAGGACATAACGTGTTTGCATTTTTGGACGTAAAAATTTGCTCATTTATCTAACATCAACTTCTAAATTGAACTTGCATTCCATTAAGTTAAGATTGGAATAAAAAGCAAATAAGATTGATATCTTTGAAGCATCAAAGTATATATTCATATTTGTCACTTGCTTTAGTCACATTGTTAATTAAAAGCAGAAAGAAAGATGGAAAGACTTGTGATTCTCTTAGTTGTTCCTTTGGCTAGGCCTTTGTTTTCTTGTGTCAACACAGTGAAATATCAGTGGTACATAACTTCCTCATGTCTGGGCTTGGGCCTTTTTAAAGAACCAATATAGCAACATTCCCATTAGTCACTGTTAAGACCCATTTTAAATTGTTATATGTCACCTAAATATTTCAGATTGCTTGGTTTTGTGCTGTGGATCCTCATTAAGTAAATTGCAATCAGCCTAGTTTTATAAATGCACAAATGTATGATGCCCAGATTGAAAAGATTTCAACGGCAGCTGATGTGTGCTCCTTTTCATTGTCAGACAGATATAGTCTTGATTATCATCAGATGTAGGTGAATGTGACACGAGGACTGTCGCACACATGATCAAATAGACCATAGCATCTAAATCCGTTCTTTGTATGCGTGCTTTACACTGTAGCAATGGAGTCTGCACGAACACAGGCACAGCTGTGATGAGATATTATAACATCACTCAGGTTAATATTTAATAACTCACAGAAAAATAAAGAAGGCAGAAATTCAAGCATGAGATAGACGAGCTATGATTACGTTGAAAATGGCAGAGGTAGGTGTGACAGGAATGATGGTCACAGTGAGAGCGACATGGAGGCTTCATGGATGCAGAACAGACTGTAGGATATTGAGGATTTGTTAAGAATCCTTGGTAGGATATGTCAGGATCCTCTGTAAGATATGTTAGAATACGTTAGCATATGTAAGCATCCTCTCCTCTGTGTGCTATGGTATGCATCTTTATTTTTTTAAAATTTTGTCTGCCTTTTATTGAAGGAGATATCTTTATTGCCTCCCTTTCTCTAAGTAAACAAATACATTTTTTATAAAGGGAGGTGAAGATCAGAAGGCCTGTAAGCTGTATTTAGAACTGTTTCTTTTGTGTACCACCCTATGGAATATTTTCCCTCTTTACCTTAAGTAAACTACAAAAAAGAATTTTAGGAAAAATGTAGATTGATACGCCTGTAAGGAGTATGAGAAGTCACGACCAACTTCTTGATGCTGCAGGTAAGTGGATGGTGTCCACCTCTTTCCCTAAGCCCTAAATACCTGTGTCATCTCTATGTTATGGTTTACTAGCCTTGACACATCAGACATCAGATAACAATTAAACACCTGTATCTAAACTGAGGGATGATGTGCTAAGTTAATTTGACATTGTATATTGAAGTGAAACAACTTGTTATATCAGATTTATGCTGACCGTGAGAGTTTTTATTTTGTGGATGTCACCTGCAGTTTTATTGAAATGGATTGAGAGGATTACTGGTACGCTGAAAAAGTTTTGGTCCCAATTTGGTTTTTAAAAAATTTCTAATGAAAAGGGGACAACCTGTCTTTTTTTTTCTTTTCGTTACTTCACATTGATTTCTAAAATGTGACATTATAAACAAACCTATAAGAAGAAAAATGTTAATCCTAATGTTTGTTGCTCAAATAGTCCCGTTTTTGCATTGGAACACCAGTTGATTTGTCAAGTCAGGATTGATGTGTT